CGCTCCAGCACCGTGGCCAGCGCGGCGCCGGCGCCCGCGGCGGCCGCGGCCGTCGAGGCGGCCGGCGGCAGCTCCACAGCCAGGTGCTCTGGCACGGAGTCCCCCGCCTCGGCGAGGGCAGCCTGCAACGGGAGAGAGGATCGGGCGGGTTGCCGTGCACTGTGTTGTGTGTTTGGTGGTGTGGTGTGCAGTATGCACCGCTGCTTGCTGGCATTCGGTTGGGGGCCGCGGAACGAAACCGCCAGCCTCGCGTCCCTCCCTCCCTCCTCCGTGCTCCCACCCCGCCCGATCCTCTCTCCCGTTGCAGGCTGCCCTCGCCGAGGCGGGGGACTCCGTGCCAGAGCACCTGGCTGTGGAGCTGCCGCCGGCCGCCTCGACGGCCGCGGCCGCCGCGGGCGCCGGCGCCGCGCTGGCCACGGTGCTGGAGCGCAGCCGGCGGCTGTGCCTGCTGCAGTACGACAAGGAGCGGTACAGCCCCCTCGCCTTCTTGGATCTCGCCTCCAAGCTCAACGCCAGCCTCACAGACGAGCAGCTGAGCGTGTTTGGGGGTGCGCAGGCAGCCCGGCAGCCTTGCCGCGTGCCTTCGCCGTGCGCGCTGCCCAAGCAGCCGCGCCGCTGCCCTGGCATGCCCGCCGGGGCCGCTGCACGGCCTGCCTGCTGCCCGCCTCGGCCATGCACCCATTCTCACCCTCCCTCCCTCCCTCCCTCTCTTCTTCTCCCTCGCGCCTCTCCTGCGCCGCCCCAGCGCTGTACGAGTGGCGGGACAGCGTGGCGCGCCAGCTGGACGAGTCCACCGGCTACCTGCTGCCCCGCGCCCAGCTGCTCAAGCTGGCGCAGGCCATGCCCAGGACCGTGCTAGGTGGTTGCCTGCCTGCTTGCGTTGCTTGGCTTCGGCCTCCCCGTCTGCAGCGGAAACGGCGGCAGAGGGCCTGCTGGGGACCCAGCTTCCGGGCCTTGGGGGTGGGCTCCGCCTGACCTTAGATTACTCACTGCCTTCCGCCGCCTGCAGAGCTGCACAAGGCCCTCGGCCGCTCGTCGCCGGTGATCAGCCGCCAGGTGGCAGAGGTGCTGGCTGCCATCCAGGCAGCACGGCAGCCCGAGGTGGTGGCAGCTGTCGGGGAGCAGCGGCAGCAGCCCTGGAAGCAGCTGCTGGAGCAGCAGCAGCAGCAGGCAGCGGCGCCGGAGCCGGCTGCAACACCAGCAGCGGCGCCTGCCGCAAGGCCGGCCCTGCAGCCCAGGGCGGTCAAGCCGCTGGTCGCGTCTGGCGCCGGTGCAAGCAACCTGCTGGGCGCGGCCGTGAGTCGCGCCGGGTTGGCGCCGCCGGCGGCCAAGCCAGCGCTGCAGCCCAGAGCGGTCAAGCCGCCGGCAGCCAGCGGTGGCGGCAGCTTGTTTGCAGCAGCAGTGCCGCCTCCCATTGTGGCAGCAGCAGCGGCAGCAGAGCAAGCCACCGAGCCGGCTGTGCCAGCAGCCGCGGAGGAGCAGGCGGCCGCATCAAAGCCAGCGCTGCAGGCCCGGCAGCTCAAGCCGCTGGCTGTGCAGCAGGAGGCGGCTGCGGGGGGCTTGCTTGGCGGCACGCCATCGCTGGCAGCCCTGCAGCCGCAGCCTGCTGCAGCGCTGCCGGCGCTGGGCAGGGGAGCGCCCTCGGCAGCAGGCTCCCTCCTCGGTGCGGGCGCCAGCACCAGCACTGCGGCAGCGGCAGCTGCGGTCAAGGCCTCCTTTGCCCTGCCCTTTGGCTTTGCCACCTCTTCCCAGGCGCCAGCCGCGGCGCCAGCCGCAGCAGAGACACCCGCGCCGGCCGTGCCGGCAGGGGAGCAGGGCCGGCAGGCCGAGCCGGAGGCGGCAGGCGGTGGCGGCGCCGGCTCGCAGCGGGATGCCATCCGTGCGGCGGTGGAGGCTATGCGGGGCGAGCAGGAGCAGGCGCCAGCACAGCAGCAGCAGCATGGGCAGCGGCAGGGGCAGCAGGATGGGCCGCCGCCAGCTCAAACGGCGGCAGCGGCGGCGGCACCAGCCAGGCCGGGTGTTGGCAGCGACCTAGGGGAGTTCCTGCCCCTGCCCATTTCAGAGAAGTATGGCAAGGGCGCGGTGAAGCGGCGGCAGCCGCAGGAGCAGCAGCAGCCCGGCGGCGGCGGCAAGAAGGCGCGGCGGCAGGCGGCGCAGCACGCGCAGCGAGAGCAGCACCTGAAGGCGACGCTGGTGGATCTGGGCCTGGAAGGTGGGGCCTCCCTTCAACGCTGCGCTGAGCTGGCGGCCATGGGGCTTGCACGCATCGTCTCCACCGCATGCCGAAGGGTGGGCATCCCTCTGAGCTGTCCCCAGGCCTGCCATGCGCCTGCCTGCAGATGCCAGCGAGGATGAGGCCGAGGAGGCGGCGGAGGCTGACCGTGGCAGCGACAAGACGCGCCAGCAGCAGCAGCAGGGCAAGCGTGCCAAGCAGCAGCAGGGGGCGGCAGCCGGCCAGCCACAGGGTGGTCAGCCAGAGGGCGGGCAGGCGCGCAGCAAGGCTGTTGACTATGAGGCTGCCCGGTCAAAGTTTGACCTTGGCATCGTGAACCCTCATGCGCAGCCCAAGGAGGAGGCCGGCGGTCGCGGCGGCCGCGGCGGGCGCGGGCGTGGCGGAAGAGGTGCGGCTCGCGGCGGGCGGGGGGCTCCTGGCGGGCGCGGCGGCGGGCGCGGCGGCGGGCGCGGCGAGGCGCTGGCCTCCCTCGTGCCGCCCGGCAAGTTCAACCCGTACGCAGCGCCGGAGCTGAACGCGCTCAAGGGCGGCAAGCGCAGCGCGGTGCACGTGCGCAGCGGCAACCGCAGCATGACCTTCAAGGAGTGAGGGAGGGAGTGGCTGCCGACTTATCGTCCTGGGTGCGTGACCGGCTTATCATCCTGTGCTTTTCCATTCCATCTTCTTGGCAGGCTGTAAAGTCTGGCTTCGCCCCGCTATAACATAGTGTGTGCTGTTGGTCACTGCCTGGGTGGTTGCGGGTAGCTAACAGCAGGCTTGGCAAGCAAGCCGGTGCCGCCGCCGCATACGGGCAACTGGTCGCCCGGGCGGGCTGGCCATGCATGCTGGAATCGTTCTTGCACGGTGCTTTACTTCAGAATTCGGTATCGGTGCCCTCTTAGTGAGGGTGCAGGTGCAGGCACCCTTGTGCGGCCGGCAGTGCACCGCCTTGACGGCCAGCGTGGAGGTGGTGCACAGGCCTGTCACCTCGTCCACCTGAATCAGCCCAACCTCCACCAGGTGCGCTGCCGTCTCCAGCCTCAGCTTGTGTGTGCAGCCGACGACCTCACCGGCTGCCCGCACGTGGACGCACACAGCATCCGCTGCGCCATGGACAGCAGATGGGGGGGGGAGGTGGGCAGGCATCTTTCAGCTGACATTGGTGCATTTGCCCGGACCCGGCTCTTTCCACTCACCACTGTAGCGCAGGAGCAGCAGCTGAGATCGCCCACAAATTGATGCAGCGCTGGGGGGTCTGTGACACGTGTCGCCGATCCACCGCAGTCACTTAGAGTCCTGCCGACACGGAGCTTCCTGTTGCGCTTCTGAGTTTGCTGGCGTCGTGCTGGTCGTATCCACACCTCGGCTGCCGTTCCAGCTCTCCCGTCGACTCGGCGCCTTCAGCCTCAAGCTCGCACCAGGCTTTTGCGTTGCAGCAGCGATCAAGAGGCTGGGGGGGCTCACCATGCCTGTGTCGACCTGCCCGTTGGAGCCGGAAGTGGCTGAGACAGCGCCACCGGCGCTCCCTTCGCTCCTGCCCACATACAAGCACGCCGAGAGGCAACCGCTCGGAGCCCTGGATGTGGCAAGCTTTTTTAGCGTGGAGGGAGCGGCCAGGAAGCAAGGGACGCTGAGGTGCGGCGCTGCCACTGCCGCCGCCGCCGGGCAACGTCGCCACTCGTCTGTCGGCCTGGCAACACTTTCGGCGCCAGGCTGTTGCTGCCCTGAAGGCCTGCTGGAGTGTCCTTGTTATGCTCCAACATAATTCTAACTCGCGGTGCAGCAGCCTGTCCAGCTGTCTGCCAAGCGTGTTGCCAACCCGAAACCCGAAGCTGCTGCCACTGCCGCAGGTCGCTGGCGGGCCAGTTTGCCGGCATGCCAGGCACTGTGTCGCTCGGCGGAGGCTTCCCGCCGGCCTCGCTCTTCCCCTTCACGGGCCTCTCGCTGCAGCTGGCCTCTGGGGGGGCAGTGAACATCAGCGACCCCGCAGCGGTGCGGCAGCAGCAGGCGCTTCATGCCTGCACAGGGGTGCCTTTGGAGTTGCTCGCCGGGTGGCCTGGCAGCGTGAACCTTGCTGGATCGATCACACCTTTCACCCTTTGGATTTCCTGCAGGTCGCCTCGGCACAGCAGTACAACTTCAGCCTGCGCGGCTACCAGCCGCTGCTGCAGTGGGTGGAGGGGCATGTGGGCGCCATGCACTCGCCGCCGGCGGCGGGCGCCCACCAGAGCCTCATCACAAACGGCGGCAACCACACGCTGGAGGTGCGCAGACGGCGCCGTGCTGCCGCCTCCGGGGCGTGCTCGCATGCCTGCCAGCAGGCCCGGGGTGCTTGCCTGCTCGCCTGCCTGACATCCAGGCAGGAGCCAGCGGCTTCACGTGTCTGCCACTCCCGTTGCCCCGCGCCGCAGATGATTATGGCTCTGTTCATGGACCGAGGCGACAGCCTGCTGCTGGAGGAGTACAGCTACCCAGTGATGACGGGTGGGTGGGTGCCTGGAGGGCCTGTGGGTGTGTGATGGCGGGGTGGGGCGGGCGTGAACGTGGCTGGTGGCCGCGACCCATGGCGTTCACGCCTTGCCTGTGGCCCCCCTGCTCCCCTCCCCTCGCGCCGCAGAGAGCCTGGCGCAGCCCAAGGGCCTGCACGCCGTGCCGGTGCCCATAGACGCGCAGGGGATCATACCCCACAGGCTGGAGGCTTTGCTGGAGGGCCTCAGGGCGGCCGCCGCCGCGGGGTCCCCCGTGCGCTTCCCCAAGCTGCTCTACACCGTGCCTGTGGCCCAGAACCCAACAGGCAAGCCGGGCGCCTGTCACCACACGCCGCAGCTGGCCTGCCCTGCATTCCTGTGCGGCGTGCACTGCTGCTTCCCTCCCTCGGCCAGCCAGCCATGGCATCGTCCCGCCTCCACCCATGATCTGTCCCCTCCAACTCAACCCCGCCCTCCACACACCGCCCCTGCGCAGGCTGCACCGTCACCTCGGAGAGGCGGGCCGCTGTGTACCGCCTGTGCCAGCGGTACAACCTGCTGCTGGTGGAGGACGACGCCTACTTCTTCCTGCAGTACCCCAGCGGCCCAGGTACCGCTGCCACCATCATCAACTGCCCATCGCACTCGAGCTTGCTTGCGGCCGAGGTCCAGCCCTGGCTGCAGATGCTCCACTCACTCACTCGCGCTCACCACTTGCTGCTGTGCCCTGCGCAGATGCTGTCCCAGGGCTTCACGGCCTGCAGGGCAGCGGCAGCTACCTGTCCCTTGACGTGGACGGCCGCGTGATCAGGGTGGAAAGCTTTGCCAAGTTCATGGCACCTGGTGCGGGCCGGGGCGGGCCGCGACACGTCTGTCTGTGGGAGCTGGCCGGTCAGCTGTGCTGCTGTGCTGCTGTGCTGACTGGCGCCGCTGTTGCTGCTCACATTGTCGTTCAGGCCTGCGGCTGGGCTGGGTCACAGCACACCCCCAGATCATCGACAAGCTCGCAATGATAATCCAGGTGAGCACAAGGCGCTTGCTGATGGGGTGCCCTTGCCGCCGACACGCTGTGCTGCTGGCTGGTGGCCCACGCTTTGCTGCCGACTGGCGCCCTTGTCGAGGATCCCAGCAGCTGCCTCGCGTGTCCGTCTTCCATGCCGTCCGCGGAACTTCCATTCCGCTAGCAGCAAGCTTGCTCGCGGCCGACCTCCCTGCCCCTGCCCCTGCTCTCCTCGCCTTGCCGCCCCTGCAGTCGCACACGGTGGGCCCCTGCTCGCTGGCCCAGGTGGTCATGACAGAGGCGCTCAAGGCGTGGGGAGATGATGGGCTGGACGCACACCTGCGCATGGTGCAGCGCGAGTATGCCACCCGGGCAGAGGTCGTCGCGGCGGCCTGCCAGAAGGTGTGTGGCGCAACGCTGCTGCACGAAAGAGGCAGCTAGCGGCGAGGTGGTTGGCAGGTGCTTGACCGGTAGCTTCTCGGGCTTCTGTGACAGCCGGCTCTGCTTCTCCCCTGCGTGCCGCTGCCCACTGGCTGCTTGTGTGCCTGCTTGTCCCTGCAGCACCTGGCGGGCCTGGCGGAATGGACTGTACCCTCGGCTGGCATGTTCCTCTGGCTGCGCCTGCTGACGGTGGAAGGTGAGACAGGGCCAGATTGAGCCTTGCCTGCTGCCTGTGAACGTCTGCACCACGTGGCCGCCTGCCTGCCTGCCCTTGGCCAGTAGGCGCTCTCCCCCGTTCCCTGGCACCAACACAACCACCGCCCTGCCCTTCCCTCCTCCCCCGCAGACGCCAGCGAGATCTGGGGCGCGCTCAAGGCGGCCAAGGTGGTGCTGATGCCGGGCCGCGCCATGCACTGCCGCTCCGCCGACCCCGCCTTCCGCTCCCCCTACATGCGCGTCTCCTACTCCTATGCACCGCCAAAGGACCTGGAGGAGGGCATGCGCCGCCTGGGGCAGGTGCTGCGCGAGCACGCAGCCGCCCAAGTGGAGGCCGCTGACGTCGGCGCCGCCGCCAAGACCGGCATGCTGCTGGGCTGAGCGGGAGCGGGCGCGGTGCGGCCGCACGCGCCCGGCCGGCAAGCCCTGCAACAGAGCTCTGGAGACCGTCAAACCCAAGGACCCACCTTAGCCCCAGTGTGCTTCCATCGCAGTACTGGCAGTAGCTGGTGGATGACCACCAACCCTGCTCCCCTCCCGACAACCGCATGCATGTAGCTTCATCCCTAGTTCGAGTTTTAGCCTTTCGTCAAGCCGGGTGGCGCATGCACCCTTGCTCTCCGCACGCAGGTCGCCATTCTTGGCCCCACTGAAGACAAACACCGCAGGCCCTTCCATTTCCCTCCCCTTCCCTCCCCGCGCTGCCACATGGCGCCCCTCCTTGGGATGCCCATGCGATCCCCCCATCGCTTTCCCCCACCACCTTTCATTCAAACACACCTCTGTCGGCGGCGGCGGCCTGTGCGGTCTGCACAAGTGCAGCCGGCGCCGGCCTTACCTTGTTTCTCCAGTACTTTGTTGAGAGCGCCCGCGAGTCACCCACACCCTGTCCCCAACTCCTCTGTGCCCACGGTTGCTGCACAGCTGTTGCCTGCCTGCATCGCCTTCGAATCACCCCTGCCTGCTTTGTTGCATTGCAAAACGAGCTCGTGTGGTTATGTAAATCCAACTGCTTATGTAAATCCAACTGGCGATCACAGCCCCAGCCGGGCAGCCACATCCCGCAGCCCGGCAGCATGCTCCCCGCCTGCCGCGGTGCCCGCAGAGTCCGGCTCCCGGCCCACTGCCGCCTGGAAGGCAGCACTGTGCCCTGGCTTGTCCAGGGGACCAGCGGTACCGCTGCCTGATGCCTCACCGGGCGCTGCACCGCCAACTGCATGCGTACGGTGGTCGGAGTAGGGATGAGGGCATGCCTGTCGAAAGGCGCAAGCATTCCTCGCCATTGGCAATGACGGCTGCTGGACTGCATCCAGCCGACGCTGCTGCAGCCGCGCCGAAGTCGAGTGGGCGCCTTGGAGCGGGGGCAGCTGCGGCGGCAGGAGGTAACTTTGTCAGCGGCCTGCCCGGCACCTGTGCTTGCGTCTCGGCAGAGCAGAGCGGGTCAGCGCCTCACCTATGCTGTCGTCCTGGAAGTCCAACCCTGCCGGTGCCTCCAGGGCTGGAACCTTGGCATCGAAGTGCTGGTGCCCCATTGAGGGTGCCGAGCCTTGAGATAGGATGAGGTGTGTGGCAACAGTGAGAGTCCCACTCAGAGAAGCCGCCCTGCTGGGCATGAGGTGCCGCCCAGCTGGCGCACCCCCAAACGTCCCACATTGGCAGCAATCGTCTGATGCGGCGTGGCCCTCACTAAAGGTGCACCAAACCCCGGGGAGCCTCCCCCGCAGCCTCCCAACCTGCTGCTGGTTTGAGGGAAGACGCAGTTCAGGAGGAACAGGCCGCCAGGTGGGGCGCAGGTGGCGCCGCTACGCGATAGATCGCGAAATCCGCCTTGCAAGCGCTGCCCGCCATCGCCCACCTGCCACCGCCCTACCCCTGCTGCTGCCAGGATGGCCCGGGTTCCAGGCCGCGGCGCCCCGCCGCGGATGCGCCGTGGCACCGTTTGGATCCTGATTACAGCCATCGCCATCTTCCTTGTGGTCATGCTGCCCGCTGAACGGAAGAAGCCAGAACAGACGCAGGTGCGGTTGAGCAGCCACCACCTGCCACCACGCAGCGCTGGTCCAGGCTTCGTTGACTTGAGCTTGCTGCTCCTGCTCGCAGGTGCCAAAGGCCACCGCAGTGACGGTAAAAGCAGCTGGAACGGCAGAGGAGCCAGCGGCGGGCACGGCTGCGGCAGGCGAGAGCGGGGCAAAGGAGGAACCGGCGGCCCAGCCAGAGGGGGCAGCAGCAGCAGAGGAGGCCGGCGGAGAGCAGCCTCAGCACACGGCCCAGGAGGCCGGCAGCAGCTCGCAGTACGGCACGGGCGTGTTCTTCGAGGTGCCAGCCAAGAAGGAAGGCGACCCTCCCACCAAAATGGAGCTGCTCAACGAGCCGGTGCCAGAGGTAGGATGGACCGCCAGACAGCTGGGAAACGGTCAGGGGCCCGCACTGCCAGCCTGCCCCTGCATGCCCCAAGTGCACGCATCCTTGCATGCATGCTGTCAGCTAGCCTCCCTCCCCTTTAATCTCTGATCTCCTACCTTCCTGCCTGTCCTGGTCTGCCCCTCCAGGACTGCTACATGGAGGAGCATGCGGACTATGAGGGCCCCTCCCTGACCTGGGGCCTGACTTACAAGCTGGCCTCGGCGGCGCAGTGCTGCCAGGCATGCAAGGAGGTGCGGTGCCGCCGCCGCCAGCACACGTGGGACCTGGTTGTGCCTCTCAAAACTTGGGAAGCAATCGCCTCCTGCTTGCTGCTAGCAGGGCTGCTGCCCAAGTGTGGCGTGTCTGTCCAGAGGCATGCACGCATGCGAGCGCCCCGCCTGCGCCGTGCCCGCTTGCTTTGCCTGCAGAAGCAGGAGCCCGATGGCGAAGGCCGGCGGTGCAATGTGTGGGTGAGTGGTGGGAGGCTCGCCAGGGGCAGCTGGCAGAGGGCTGCATTTCCACGCAACTGTGTGGTGAACACGAGATGCTCGACACTGCTCCCCGGGGCTACCCACATGCTCCACCCCTGACCTCACCCTTTGCCACCCGGCTCCCACAGTGCCGCCATGCCACGCTGCTGCCTGTCCAGGTCTACTGCCCCAGCCCCACGGGCGACTGCTGGTCTGCCGACATCTGGAACCACACCACGGGCGAGTGCTGGCTCAAGTGGCAGAAGGACTGGGACAATAACGGTGAGGCGGCAGAAGGAATCCAGGTGCAAGTTCCCCCCCTTGCTTGCCCCCACCCCTCCCACATGCCCCTGTGTGTTGCATGCAGTTGATCGTGCGGGCACCAACCTCCAGGTCAACCGCCGTGGAAAGTACAAGCCCGAGTTTCGCCAGGAGCACAAGACGGCGCCAGGTGAGGCTTGCGGGGCTGGGGTGTGGGATGGCGCCGCAGCAGGCGAGCGCGTTTTCTCACCCGCCTGCTGTGCCCGCTTGCTGCACTGCTGCAGAGGAAGTGGCGTGGGCCGCCGGCGTGATCCCTGCTGCCTAAGTAATCTAGCTACGTGTTTGCTGTAACAAACTCAAATGCCAGGCGGCAGCGCCGGTTGCGCCCAGGCCACATGCTGTGGCGGCGATGGGGCGTATACATCGCCTAAGACCTGCTTGAACACGTTCCTTGGCTCTCCTCTAGAGATGGGCGAGCATCCCTTTAAATTGGAAGCCGCAGCGCAGCTGGTGACGAGGCGCCAGCCAGCCTGGCGTTCACCGCCGGCCCCAACTGGCACGGCGCTCAGTTCAGGACTCATCCGCTGTTCCAAGGTTGCCAGCTTCCACTCAGGCCAGCAGCCGCCATGGACCTGCTCGCAGCAGTTCTGGACCGCCTGCCCTTCATCATGAGCGACCTGGTGGTGTATGGCTCCATGGCCCTCACCTCTGCCGCCATCTACCTGCTGGCCTTCTTCGGAATCGTGGGCAGCTTCTACAGGAGCAGCAGCAGCCTGGGGCCGCCCACCAGGGCGCTGGCCGCCGCCTGGGCGTTACTGGTGCCAACGGCGGCCGTGTTCTCTGGGCTGGCGGTTGCTGCCGCACGGCACAACCTGGGAGATTTTAGCACAGGTGGGATGCTGATGGAGGCTGCTGCTGGCCGTGATGAGAGTCGTGCCAACCAGCTGAGCCCAGTGTGTTGCCCCCCGCAACTCCCACCCCTCCGCGTGCAGCGCGCGTGCTGGCGGCGCTGCTGGGCCCGCCGCTCCTGCTGTGGCCTGCCGCCGTGGCGCTCACCTCTACCAAGGCCGTCAGGGAGGCCCACATGCCGCCAGAGCCTGCACCCGCCGCTGCCGAGGTGGAGGAGGAGAAGCAGGCGCTGGTGGCAGAGCCGGCAGGCAGCGGCAGCACGGGAGGCGTCAGCGCTGCTGAGGGGACCACTGTGACGGAGAGCGCTGAAGTCAAGAAGGAGCAATGAGCAGGCCTTGCTGGCAACCTTCGGCCAGCCGGGCGCTGTGCTGCAGTGGCAGTCGAGCGGCACAAAGCAGGCGGCGGCGGCAAGAGGCAGCCTATGCACTGCGGACCCACGTCACATCTGTACAGTGGATGCACTGACATCCGTGCAAAGATCGTAGCGGTGAACTTCAAACGGGGAGGGCATGTAAGGAAGCTGTGGATGTTCATCTCCCCACGATGCTGCTTCATGACCGCCGCTGCAGCAGGGTGCCTCCCTGGCTCCCACACCTAAATCCCTTGGCGAGTTTACATGTCCTGGCTACAATTTTGCGCATTCCCGGCGCGCAACGCGAGCGGACGTTGGTTGGAGAGGTGACGCTTGAGAGGGAAGCAGAGGAGCAAAGAGGTGGTACAGCAAAACTTGACATACTACATTAGGGTGGGCTTGGACTGACAAGGAGCCAGTGGATGGTGGTACAGACAGCGTGGCGCGAAAAAAACTGCCAGGCCAACTGGAAGCAGAAAGACGGCAAACTGGGCTAGTCTACAGCTAAAGGCATCAAAGCAAGGGGGCGCACGCTGGTGGGCGGCCAGCAAAAATCAAGGGCGGCTCTTCGCTGAAAGCAGCACGAATTGGATTCAGGAAAACTGGGAAGCAAGAGGGAAAAGGAGAGGGGGGTAGCGGGGCAACAGAGGCAGGGCGAGTGCAGACTTCTGGCAGGCAGGGTTTGGAAATGACCGCGTGCAAGCGATGGATGGTACAGATGGAGGGCAAGGGGCCATACAATTTGCGCTGGTTGTTCTCGGAAAACACCTGAGCAGCTCCTGGTTGGCGCTAGAGGTGTGCGCAATGGGCAGGCTGAGTTGGGGGAGGCAGGAAGGCACCCGTGGATGAGCCCAGGCCTAGGCAGAGCCAGTGGGCGCCACGCCTTGCACGCACAGGTCTGGGTTGGCGGCCAGCAGCTTGTCCACTGCAGGCAGTAGGCAGGGGACACGTGAGAGGCGGGCCCCGACGCACGGCGAGTGCAGTAACGCACAGCCGCGGCGGCAGCCAGGCGCAGGCAGCAAAGCCCACCGGCGAACGGCTTGACCCTGGTTTCATAGAGCGCCAGCGTCTGCAGTTTGGGCAGGCAGCCCAGGGCCACCACCGAGTTGCTCGTCACGCGGCACTGCAGGCAGGCAGGGCAGGCAGGGCAGGCAGGCGCTCAGTGCGTCGGCCTCCTGAGGGCGACAGTGCGCGCCTCGGCCTCATTTTGTGTAGCAGCCAGGCCCAGGCACGGCAGCAATGCACTGTGCAGGTTTTGGGTGCGATACCCTGTGCAGGTTTTGGGTTGTGCAGGCGCATGCCTGGGAGAGGTTGAGGGCCATGAGCTCGTTGAGCTTGATCAGGTGGAGGATGCAGCTGTTGCTGACCCGGTAGTTCTGCCAGAGGAAGAGTCGGGCGAGGAGAAGGAGGGCGGGGGTTGAGCGAGGGGTGGAACACAGGTGAATCAGGGGGAGAGGGTTGAGGCAGGAGGTCAAGGCAAGCGGCCAGGCCAGGCGTGGGAGGGCAGCCCCGTGCATGTGGCTGCCACAGGCAGCGTGCAGCTGCCCCAGCAGGCGCTCGCCTGCGCCAGGGAGAGGTGCTGCAGGCGGGTGAGGGCCACCAGGTGTGCCACGCCCGCATCCGTCACACCCCCGCCGCACACCTCCAGGCGCCGCAGGTTCTTCAGCTTGCTGCGGGCGCAGGAGGCGAAGCAGGCATCGCGGAGCAAGCAGCACGCTTCAGGCAGCCGCTGTTTGGAGTGGCCACGGCGGGGGGCCTGGCAGGGGCTAGCCAGCGTGCTTTGCAGGGCGCTAGCCAACGTGCTAACGACAGGCCTGGGCGCGGCCGCCGCTGCATGGGCACTGCGCTGCGCACCTGAGGCTGGCGCAGCCGGCGTCGCCGATGCGCGCCCCAAACAGGTCCAGGCACTCCAGGCCCGCCAGCTGCGCCACGCTGACCATGCCCGCATCTGCGCAAAACAAATGCAGCAGGCGCAGCCCAGTCAGTGAGGAACAGCCAAGGCAAGGCATGCCAGGCGAGCTACTCCGACCAGGCGTGGAGCCGGAGCCAGAGGCGCCGCGGCAAACACGCCGCTTGCCACCTCACGCTTGCCACCTCGTACTCCCTCCCAGCCCAACGGCCATGTGTGTGCACGGTACCGCCGCAGCTGGCAGCCCCGCCCCGCACCTGTGAAGTGGCGGGAGTCGAGGTTGAGGCAGCGCAGCGATGAGAGGCGCCTCAGCCGCTTCAGTCCCAGGTCGTTGACGCCTGCAGGCGGGGGCAGGCAAACAGGGGCCAGGCGGACGCTTGGTGGCAGGCGGGCGGCATGGGTGGATGCCATGCTGCCTGGACTGAGTCCACCCCGCGCCAGCTGCTGCACCGCCAGAGGCATGGGCTGCCTGCTGGCGCGTCCAGCGCCCGCTGCTGGGCACCTGTGAAGGAGAGGTTGAGGCACTCCAGCTGGCGCATCGCCGCCACCGTGCTCATTGTCTCGTTGCTGGCGCTTGTGTCGCTGCAGAAGGGTGAGGGCTCAGCATGAGAGGCGTGAGCTGTGGCGCGGCGCCCAGCTCCTTTGCACTCGCACACACGCGTGCTGTGATGCCAGGCTGCCCGCTTTGCGGCACAGCGGCGGCCCATCCAATGCCCCTCACAGGCAGCCAGCCAGCCAGCCAGCCGCCCAGCTGAGGTGGCCACCTGAGGTCCAGCTGCCGCATCTGGGTGAGGTGGGAGAGCACGGCCAGACCGCCGTCCCCCACCGAGCAGTTTTCCAGGCTCAGCACATGGAGCTGCAGCAGGCAGGCGCACGAGGAAGCCGGCGGCTGGCTGCCATGAGCAGGCGGCGCAGGCAACAACCACGGAGCAGCGAAGCGGCCGAGGCGCCAGCGCTCGCCCGGGGAGCACGGCAGGGCAGGGGGGCGGCGTGTGGCACACCTGCGTGAGGCCGCCCAGCAGCAGCAGGCCCCTGTCGGACACTGCTGTGTAGCCCAGGTGCAGCTCCCTCAGCTGCAGCGCCTGCAGGGCGGGCGGGCAGGCAGGCAGGCGCCCAGGCAACAGCTCGTTGGCTTGTGGGGCGCGTGCAGGGCGCGCTGTCAGGCTTGAGCAGCCCCAAAGGTGCGCCCAAGCTCCCTGCAGCAACAGGAGGGCAGGAGGCGTGGCAGGGGCAGCTGCTGCTGCCAGCTGGCGGCGCCGCCGACTCACCCTCTGGCTGACGGCCGCCAGCGAGGCATCCCCCGCCTGCAGGCAGCGCTCCAAGTTGAGCGCCCGCAGATGTGGCAGGTGGCGCAGCAGCGCCGCCAGCGCCTCGTCGCTGCAAACAAACACACAGCAGATCCCGGCGGGCGGGGGCGTGGCAGGCGTGAGGGGCTCGGGTGGCGGGCAGCCGCCTGGCAGCGATGCCGGAGGGCCAGCTGGGCGCAGGCGGGCAGGACACGCCGTGCTGCGCGTGCGGCTGGTCCTGCACCTCACAGGCAAAGGATGGCTGTTGTTTGCTGGAGGCTCTCTCATCTCACCTGACCCGCACCCCCGCCAGGTTGAGCGCCCGCAGCTGCCCCAGGCTGTGCAGGCACGCCAGGCCATGATCCGTGACCTGCAGGCAGGGCAGGCGGGGAGGCAGGTGCATCGGCGGGTCATGCGCGAGCAGTTACGCGCGAGCACCTGCAGGCCGCTGGCTTTGCAATTGCAAGCACGCGGCCGATGCTGCGACGCAGACAGCTGACTGTGGACGGCAGGCAAGGCACGCACACACACACAGGTGCCACGCGTGCGCGCCTGCGTGCGGGCGAGGCTGAGCTCCTGCAGGCGCGGCATCCGCCGCAGCACCTGGGCATCGCTGTCGTCCAGGCTGCTGCACCAGCCCACATCCAGCTGCTCCAGCTGGCGCAGCTGCGCCAGCGGGGCGAGGCTGCGGGGAGGCGCCAGGGGGCACGTGAGATGCGAGGTGCTGTCCCGGGAGCCGCACAGGCTGGATATGCATGAGGAGGGTGGTTTGATGTGTGGCTGAGGGCAAGCGTGCCACGACAGGCGCGTGCCTGCCCCTGCGCCACCCCCCCGACGCCGCACCTGATCTGGTGGCAGGTCTGCAGGCTGAGGCGGCGCAGGCGGGTGAGCCCCCGCAGGTGCCCCATGCCGACCGCCGTCAGCAGCTCGCAGCCCGCCAGCGACAGCTCCTCCAGCGACGTCATGCCTGCGGCGAGCGAGGAGGGCAGCAGGCAGGGCAGGAGGGTGGCGCACATGTGGCTGCTGGCCCGGCGGGCCGGGTGGCAGGTGCATAGGCTGTGGCAGGTGCAGAGGCTGTGGCGTGACGAGCGCCGGGGCACGGGCCCCACCTTGCAGCAGCGCCAGGCCGCCATCCGTCAGGTCAACACAGTAGTCCAGGCACAGCTGCGCCAGGTGCGGCGTGGGGCCCAGGCTGGCCAGCACCTCGTCCATGCCCTGCAGGCGGGGCGCAGGCAGACGGCGCAGGCGGGTGAGGGGCCAGCAGGAGAGATCCAGGCGAGCGGCGCGTTGCAGAGCTGCCAGCCCAGCCAAGTAGGCAGGCAGGCAGGCAGGCAGGCAGGCAGGTGGGCTGGCAGGCTTCCCCCCTGCCTCTGGCCAGGGCAGGCAGGCAGCCAGCCAGGAAAAAAATGTGCCGAGACAGCTGGCTGGCTGGCTGGCCTGCCCGCACGCTCGCCTCTGTCTTGCTGAGGTCCGCGGCCTCCAGGGAGGGAGTGCTGAGGCAGCGCAGCCAGGAGGGCTGCACGCGCTCGGGGTAGGCGCCCAGGGGCAGGCGGAAGAAGTGCAGGCCCAGGCCGGAGAGCTTGAGCACCGCGGCGTCGTCCAGCTGGCCGCACCCCACCAGCCCCTCCCACAAGCACTGGCTGAGGGTGGGGGGCAGCCTGGGCCAGCGGTGGCGCGGGCGGGGGGTGCAGGGAGCGCAGGAGGGCGTCCAAGGCCAGGGAGAGGAGGTGCTGGGGCCCGGGGCCCGCGGCCTCGGCGCCGCCGAACGAGCGGGAGCGGCTGAGCAGGCGGCGGGGGCGGAAGGGGGACAGCCGCACTATCGGGGCGCCCCCGTCCTCCTCCTCCTCCCTCCGCTGCTTCTTGGAGCAGGCCAGACCCATGGCGCCGCTGGGCTGGCGCCGGGTGCAGCCAGTTCAGGCACTTGGGAGTCGGTGGATGGGGGAGCTGGGTGAGGGGGACCAGGATGCGAGGGGTGGCAGGGGAGATCAGGACGGGCCCATACATGAGATTACAGGCGGGTCCGACATCCCTAGGCCCCAGGGCAGTTTTCAATCTCTGACGTGGCGGAGGTGGTTTTGGCCCCAAGAGCGCATTTCAAGCTCCTGCAGTCCCCCGCGATGCACCAGGAGATCCCTGAAGTCTATCCGAGACCGGTGAGAGGGCAGCAGAGCGGCCGGTGGGTGGGAAAAGCCTGGCTGCCATTCTCGCACTGAGCAGGAGCAGACCGTGTCGGGGAGGCCTGCAATAGCCTACCAGAACCACACATCAGTTAGGGATCGGAAGAGGGGGATGCTGAGGCGGGAGGGTGACTGACTTCCCCCCGCCTGCTGAGCAGCGGCGGCAATCTGTGACGCAGCCGGCAATCAAGCAAGCCCTTGCTGCGTCCTCTGCCTTCCTGAAACAGCCAGCGTTGTACTGCTCTGGTCCATGCTCTCCTAATTCCTGAGCTTGCCTTGCCCAGGGCCCTCTGCTGAGCACCGCAGCACCTGCATTCCCGCGTGTACAGCGGCTACTGCGCAAGCAAGGGGCTGAGCAACAAGCCTGCGATGTGGCATGCCATGCCTGGAGGGCACGCCATCTGGGTGATGCAGGCTCTGCTGGGACCACAGAGATGACCGGCTGGCGCCGCCTGGCGGCGAACCCCCACCTTTCGCGCACCCATGGCCCAACCGTCATGCCTGTGATACAGATGCCTCCCGTGATCGCCACCATGCAGCAAAGCTTGCAGCGGCCCGGGCCTGCCTTGCCGTGCCGCAGTCGCGGTGGCAGGGCCGCAGCTCGGCCGCAGCGCTGGCGGATCTGCTGCCAAGCATCCCATCAGCAGCACACAAGGTGCGGTGCATGTTGCAACGACCACCGACGGCATGATGGCGGCACAGGGTTCTGACCCTCCCTCTCTGCTCCCCAAACAAGCAGGCGGCTCGTTCTCATGCGCCACGCCGACTCTGAGGCGGCATCAGTCCGCGTGAGGGACCACGATAGGGAGATTACGGTGCAGGGCGCGCAGGAGACTCTAGAGGTCGGGAGCGGCGTCAGGCTGTTGTGTCGCAGCCCTGCTGGTGCCAGGGGGAGATGGTGCAGCTGTGCAGGCATCTAGCCTGCCAATAGCACCCAGCAAACAGGGATGCAAGCATCCTGGTGCTGTCACAGCCCTGCCCTCGCCTCCCACCCGCCGCCCCGCTCCTGCCGCCGCAGGTGGGCGAGCAGCTGCGCGCCGCTGGCTGGCTGCCGGAAGTTGTCATCTGCAGCAACGCGCAGCGCACGCGGCAGACGCTAGACGTGCTGCAGAAGGTCATGCCTGAGCTAGGTGCGCTTTGATGCCCCGCACCGTGCCCTGTGGCCAGCGCAGGGGGCAAGCACCTCAGAGCAGCCATCATACACTTTGGGGCAGCCTGGCTCGTCATTCACCGCGCGTTTCACGCTGTCCTGCCTGCCCTGTGCGGCTTTCTATGTTGGAGGAGGCTGCTTGCCAGCTCCGCGTGGGCATTCCATTGCCAAGATCCACCTGCCGCTCCTGCTGCCCCTGCACCCCGCAGGCGAGGCAGACCAGCACTTCCTCGGTAGCCTGTACACCACGGCAGCGCTGGACGGGCAGACGCGGGGCCACCTTTCGGAGCTGGTGGCGGCAGAGGCGGCGTCCTCGCACAGCTGCTGCCTGTGCCTGGGCCACAACAAGGGGTGGGAGGAGGCAGCCTCCTCGTTTGCGGTGGGTGGCCAGCGCCGCCAGCGTTGCGTTTGAGCGCCGCGGTTGTCGCCTGCGGGGCAGGCTGCCCCTGTGGCGGGACGGCTGCACTGCGAGGCATCAGCAGGCCTGCCCTGCCTGGCTGCAGCCTGACCAGCAGCGCTGCACCCCTTGTGGCTGCCAGCTGCGTCACCTCCGGCCAAGCGAAACTGTTGGCGTGCCGACCCTGCAGGGCGAGACGGTGCGGCTAGGCAACGCGCACGCCGCCCTTCTGGAGGCGCAGGGCGCCAGCTGGGCAGAGGCGCTGGCAGAGGGGACACGCTGGCGGCTGGTCCAAGTCCTCACACCGCGGGCAGCCTGAGCCGGATGCCGCGCTCGAGTTGCCCAGTGAATTGCCCTCTGCGTGCGTCTGCTCACCCTGCCAGCTGTGGCGTTGTAAGCTTACAATGCAGGTCTTGGTGTTGGTTAGCGGAGGGGGGTGGTTGAATAGGGTCTCAAAATGCCAAAGCCCTGAGCGGCTATTCAATTCGTGGCGGGGAAAAGCTGGAGGCAAGGTCGGGAGTAGGCGGTAAAGGAGGAAAGAGAGAGAGGGGGGCTGGCTAGCTAGCTTTGTGCAGGTTCCGGGTGCGTTCAGTTGGCTGCGCTCAGTGTGTTTTTGGATAGCCGGGGGGGAGGCTAACAGAATTTTTTCTTTTTTTCTCGGGGGAGGGGGGAGGCGTGGGGATGCAGACAGATGTTGAGGCAGCAGCGCCAAGCTGCGCAAGGTTGATGGCAATGCAAGGGCCCGATTAATAGGTCATACAGGCTGAAAAACAAGAGATGCGCGCAAGGAGGGCAGGCTGCCGGCGCGCGCCCGCAAGGGGCAGCGGCGCCGTTGCCGGCATCGCCACTGGTTGGCATGCCAGCCGCAGCCGCCGCGAACAGGGCCGCGTTCGTCTTTGCGGCCCACATGAATAAGTGGGTTCATACCAGCCCAAGAGAGAAAAAAAATGACGCTGAAGGGGGATGGACCAAAAACTAGGGCGTCTGCGGGCGGAGCAAGGGGGGGGATTGCTCGCCCGCCACGTCCCTGTGCAGTAGTAGCGTTGTCAGAGGAGAGATGGGGGGGGACTCCAGCACAAGCAGGGGAGGGCTCATGGGGTGAGCACGGGGGGGGGAGGCTCCAGCGAGCGAGCACGGGGGGAGGCTCAACAGACAAGTGCAGGAAAAAACGTAGGCGGCAAAGGAATGAAAGGTCGGATGGGGTTGCCGCCGGCGGCCGGCGCCGCCCCACGTCACACGGGGCGGCGACCGACCATTCCCACACAAAGAATAAGAATTGCATCCCAGCTGGAGGCATGGAGCTACTTTTTTTTCCAGCGGCAGTCCGCAAGGTCGATACTGTTGGGGTGGGCCCAGGGGGCAGCACACTGAACATGAAATGGACGGTTATTGAGGAATAAAACGAAGTGCAGGGATGGGAGTGTTGCAGGGGGTGCAATTGGGCGGCGGCGACCCCGGGTGCGTGGCCTCAAGAGGGCGTGGCGGCGCCACACAAAACTGTTTGGCAGAGGGAGGGAGCGAGGAGACCGGGGGGGAGGCAAAGAGCGGGCGGCGAGCACAATTGGTGCGTGCCGCCCTGCGGCCCCAGCCTCTGCCAAGCAGGTGGTGCCAGCGCGCCGGCCGGCCCGGCCCTGGGCGCACAGCTCAGCTCAGGCGCGCACCAGGCCGGGCACGAGCCGGTCGTGCGAGACGCGCGGCGGCGCCATCAGCTCAAACTCGGCCTTGGTGACAAAGCGGCCCTTGATGCGTGGCCGCTTGTCGGCGCTGACCTTGCGCGCGGGATAGACGAGCTGCGGGGCGGGGCAGGGGGAGCAGAGGCAGCGGTCAGGGCAGGCTGGGGAGCAAGGGAGGGCAGCGGGGAGCAGGCCGGCTGCGGCTGGCTGCGGGAGCACGGCAGCGCGCGGAGCGCGCCGCAGGGCTGAGGGAGCAAGGGAGCGTCACCAGCGGGGCGGGCCGCCTGCCTCACCTTGCGCTCGCTGCTCTTGCGGCTGGCCTTCCTGTCGCGCATGCGCGAGGCCTCGGCTGCGGCTGCGGTGGCGGCGGCGGTACTGCTGGGGCCCGCGGGCTCGGCCGTGCTGCCTGCGGGCGAGGCGCCCATGGCGGGCACCGAGGCTGCCGCCAGCGAGGCCTCCAGGTCGGTGGCAGAGGGGATGGCGGCGGTGACCGCGCTCAGCGCGGGGCCCGTCATGTGGAAGGGGTGAGCGCCGCCGCCCACGCTGTGCCACGCGCTGCAGGGCGGCGAGGGGGTGGGGGCAGGGGCAGGGGCGGGCAGTTGGGCTTGGTTTCAGCTCGCGAACCAACCCTAGCAATGCCAAGGTTTGTTCCAGGCGAGGATGTGCCTGTTACACAGGCAGGCACGGGGGCGCGCTGGGGGGGCAGCGCCCAGCTGGCCTGGAGGCGCAAGCTGCGGAGGCGAGCCGGCGCGACGGGGACGCTGGGGCTGGGCACCCACCTCATCACCGAGCCAAAGTCCAGCTTCAGCTTCAGGCCGTGCAACCCCAGAGGCAGCGGGGCGGGGACGGGCTCCTGCAGCAGCAGCGCGCAAAGAGCCGGGCCAGTGAGCAGGGTGCGGCAGGGCGTGAGCGGTCGCACCCGCTGCTGCTAGTACCCAGGGGACACGCACCAGCTGCTGCTGTGCGCGCTCCAGGTCGTCCAGGGCAAGGGGAAAGCTAGAGGTCAGCTCTTGGAGCCTGCAAGCACGTGGGGGGAGAGAGGACCCCTCCAAAAGTGCATGGTTGGGGTTCATCGGGCCGAGGCCGAGGAGGGCGCCGCCCTAGCCCCAAAGACGCGCCAGGCGGCATGCACGCACCTTGAGCTGGCGGGCGACGCTGGGGCGATGGAGACGGAGCTGGTCGCCTGCAGGGAACGGGGGTTGCGGGCAGCGGGCGTGAGGGGGCCTGTCCGCTCTGCCGGCCGCCTTGTGAGGGCTCAAGACGCAGTCTTCAGCCCAGCAGCAGCGCAATGCGGCACCCCCGTCACCTCGGCGGAGCCAATCTCCCCCAAGAAGAACTCGGTGGCGTCCAGGCTGCTGCTGGAAGACAGGCTGAAGTCATTGTGTTGCGGCACGGTGAGCAGGTCGTCTGCAGAGCAACGCCCTCGTTAGCAGGGGTCCATTTTCTCGGAGCGACGCCCGGGGCCCCGCAACCCTGCAACACTCACCAAAGTCGCTGTGCTCGCTGCACTCCAGGAAGGGGAGGGAGCCAGGCAGCGTCAGGAAGGAGACGGCTGTCATGGCCTCCTGATTCGGCTGCCACAAACTCCTGCAGAGGTGGGTGTTGTGCTAGGAAGATACAAATTGACAATGCAAGTGAAATACGAAGAGAGGGCGCGAGGACCAGCCACCGCCTCATGTGAAGGCGCGCCTGATGGACAGCTTGCCACGTGCGGACAGCTTGCCACGTGCAGACTCCAACCAGATTAGCAGGAGTGCACGGTGCCAGCAGCACCAGGGCCGTGATACCTGCAGGGTCGGCAACGCTCTGAGCCGCCCGGGGGGGGGGCCACACGCAGGCCCGCAACTTTTGCCTTTTCCCCAAGCTTGCATGCCGTGCCCCTGGTGCCCTGCAACAATCCACGGATCAGCTGCACACCACGGCAACAATCTTGAATCATTTCAGGGGTGCAGAACATAACCCTAAGTGGGGGCATGGCCTTGCCCCCCATGCCGCACCTGCGCAAGGCTCGCCCATCGCTCCCCCACGTGCGCCCTGCTGCTGCTGCTGCTGGCATCACTGCTGGGCGGCACAGCTGCCTTGGCTGTTAGGGATGCAGACCTCTTTTTGGGAGGTCTCCCGGCCCACCTCCCGGCTGCGTGTATGTGAGCGTGCTCTCACGCACTGGTGCGTGGGCCGCTGGCCCGCAAAGCTGGAGTAGAGCCAGAGCTAGCCTGGCTGGTACAGTTCATGTGAGCACGGCACCCACATTGTGATCTCATGACACAGCCAAGATGATGAGGGCTGATAAGGTGCCTGCACAGCGCATGGAGTGTCCGGAGCGAGCGTGGCCCACCGACGATGAGCAACAGGCCATAGCTGCCACTCTGGATTGCCTTGCACTCATACCGTGGTGCACATGCGAGTTGACGGGTTGCATGCCGTCATCAGAACTTCATGTCATGCCCAGCACTGCTCAGCAACTCCGCAACGGCACTCCCCTGCGGCCGGTGGCGGGGGCGGGAGACCCTGCCGCTCGCAGCTCTGCGCCCCCCTGCCTCCCCCAACAGCCGGTGAGGAGTTTCCCTGCGTGCGGCATCGATCGCCCAGCTCTCAGCAAGGTCAGGGGCTCCAAGCAATGCACACTCCTCCCCTGCTGCTGCTGCGCCATGCTGACCCCGGGCCGCCCCAAATGCAATGCATGGGCTGCATAGCCTGTGTTTAGAGATCAGGCAGCAGCGACAGCCATGGTGGCCCACGCCCAGGTCATCGAGACGAGCGAGGAGGAGGCGTATGATGCCATCGCCAAGTACATAGCAGAGCTGCAGGTGGGGGGCGGAGCCGGCCCCCCGCGCCTCTGCTGCATCGCCTGGCCCTGATCACGCCGCCTCTGACCCGCCAGCCACGCCGCGATGCCGCAGGGTGCCCAGCCCGGCTTTGCGGAGGAGTGCGAGCAGCTGTACGCGGCGGAGCAGTATGAGAAGCTCCTGGACAAGTTCGTGTCGGCCCTAGATGTGGTGCTGGGCGCCAGCAGCAGCGACCAGGGTGCGCCGCCCGCCCGCCCGCCGCCTGCCCACGCCCACTCACGTGTGCTTCCTTTCGGGCTGGGCACAGCCATCCAGTGCGCCGACGCCTGCACCCCCACGCTCGCCATGCAGACCTGGAGTGCTGCCTGAACATGACGTGCCACCTGGTGCCGCGGATAGCGCTGCCCGGCGCGGCGGCGGCGGCGCAGCGCCTGGCCGCCGCGCTGGCCGCCAGCACCGACAGCCGGCCCGACAAGCGCCTGCAGGCGCTGGTCACGCTGTACAACGCATCGTACGATTCCGGCAGCAAGGCCACGGTGCTGATGGAGGCGCTGGGGTATGCCCAGCGCGCCGGCCTGGCGGACGTCCTGCCCGTCATCCGCGCCCACGCCGACGGCTGGGCGGGCGAGCTGGCGCTGGGCGCGGCGGCAGAGCGGCGGCTCTACACCGCCTGCGCCGACACGCTGGCGGCGTGCACGCGGAAGCCGCGCACCGCGGCGCGGGAGTCGTACCGCCTGCTCACAAAGTGCCTCACCACATACGAGGTGCGCCTGCTGTGCGCTGCTGGTAGCGGCGGCGGGGAGGTGTTGTGGCGGGTGGGAGCAGGGCCCACAGCGGTCTGGGGCACAGCAGGGCCCGGGGCACGCCAATCGCAGCCTGGCGGGACGCGGCTGGCGGTCCCTGCCCCACGCCCCACAGCCACCCCCTGCCATGCCCCGCACCGCAGGACGCGCCCGCCTCGGAGCTGCCGGGCGCCGTCCCCGCGGCGGCGGCCGTCGTGTGCGACTTCATCCGCTCCCCAGACATGTTCCAGTTTGACCTGGCCGCCAACCCGGCGGTGGCGCAGCTGGCCGCCTCCCCGCAGCACGCCGACCTGCACAGGCTGCTCACCATCTTCCTGCAGGGCACGGTGCAGGTGCGGCTGGCCCGCCGCCGGGGCGGCGGGGAAAGAAGGAGCGGCGCGTGCAGCGTGCCGCGCGGCCGCTGGCCTGCGACGCAGCCCGCCCCCGCCGCCTGCCTGCCCGCCCTGCCCCGCAGGAGTTCCAGACCTTTGCGGGCACGCCCGCCGGCGCGGCGGCGCTGGCTGCTGCGGGCATCTCCGAGGAGGCGGGGCTGGCCAAGATGCGGCTGCTGGCCTTCATGGGCCTGGCCCACGGCGCCAGCCAGATCACCTTCCAGCAGATCCAGGCCGCGCTGGTGCTGGGGCCGGGGGAGGTGGAGGGCGCGGTGGTGCAGGCCATCGGCAAGAAGATTGCTGAGGCACGCATCGACCAGCTGCGCGGCGTGGTGGCGGTGTCCAAGTGCGCGCCCCGCACCTTTGGGCCCGAGCACTGGCGCCAGCTGCAGCACACGCTGACGGGGTGGAAGGAGGCAGCCATCATGGCGCAGCAGGCGCTGGCCGAGGCGGGCGGCGGCGCGGGCGCGGCGCCGCGCGGCGCCGCCGTCCCCAACGGGTCCTCGGTCGCGCCGGTGCGCGCGTGACGCGGCCGGCTACGCTGCCGCCTCGCGCGCTGGCGCGCAGCGTTGAGACCTCCCACGCCCACCCGCCCTCCCCGCTCCCTCTCCCTGCTCTCCTCTCCTAGCTCAACCTTCCCGGCTGTCCTCGCTGCACTGCTGCCTTACATTTCCAGTGCGGCGACCTGGCAGCACTCTGTATGCATGCGCATGCAACAACAACGACAACAGCAATCCACCGCCAAGGCAGGCACGCTGACAGGAGCGTGCGGGGAGCGGGGCAGCAGATGGGGCCGCCGCCCAAGGGCTGCCCCGCACCACCGCTGCCGCGCTGCCCGCGCCGCGCCGCTCTCAGGTCTTGAGGATGGGGTTGCCCTGGGAGTCGAGCGGCCAGGGGTTGCCCTCCACGTCCACAGGCTTCTCCAGCTTGCGCAGCTGGGGCGTTGACCAGGCATAGTCCTTCACCAGAGCCCACTCCACAGGCCGCCCAAAGTTCTTCTGCGGCAGGCGGGCAGGCGGGGAGGCACGGCGGCAGGCTCAGCGCGCGGGGGGTGGGTGGCTGCGTGGCGAGCAGGGCGAGCAGGTGGAGCGGCAACCGCCGCAGGCAGGGGCAGGTGGCGGCTGTGGTTCTCCCCTGGCGGAGCCCCACACGGCATGGTGTCTGCACAAGCACCTTGAATGCGTCAGTGAACTGCCGCTGAGCCTCTCGGAACTCCGGGGTGGAGAAGGAGAGGCGGGGGTCCTCGTTCTTGCGCATCTCCTCGAGCTGCAGGTAAGGAAGGGACAGCGGCAGCGGTGGCTGGGGGCCGTGCGCGACGAAAGTGCGTTCGCAGCGGTTGAGCCTCCTGGCGCGCCGCACGGCGCGCGGGCACTCCACTCGCCTTCTTGACGTGCTGGCGCATCTCCTCTAGCAGCGCCTGCGCATTGCGGTCGTTGGGGTCTGCTCGCTTCTCGAACTCCCTCTGCAGCACCAGGTGGCATGGGCGAGGATGGAAGGGGAGCGCAGTCCAGTGCGGCCGGGCGGGCGGTGAAGACCAGCAGCCAGGAGCGGGTCGCCTGGCTGCGCCGAATGCCCTGCCTGCCTCACGCCCCTCCTCTGCACCCACCAGCTTGTCCGAGTCCTGTTGCGTGAACTTGTTGCCGATGTAGTTGGCCATGCTTGCGCCCCTCAGCTAGCCTCAAGGACAGGCTCCCCGACAGGCTATGCTGGGCGTTGTGGATGAGGGTTGCAAAGCCAGGGGAGGCAGTGGCGCGATGGCGGAGCCAGAGGCCAGAGTCAAACGTGGCCACTGCCGGCGCTTTCCTAAGTCTTCTTGACAGGGAAACTTGCGCTCATCGTTGCGGACACGCTCACAAGAGTGCTCAGCAAGGTTGGAAGGCGGCCAGCGGTGCTGTGAGGCTGGCCTGAGCGTTGCAAAGCGGTGCCCTTTGCTCTCCTCATCCCCTTCCCGCCCTTCCCCGCGACTTCAAGGCCAACCCACGAGTCGGATCGGCTTTCCAGTGTGCCACAAGTGAGTTGCAACGCGGTTTGCGCCGGGTTGTGGCGCACCCCAGCAGAGACCAAGCTCCTGAGCCCTTCCTGCGTGTCGCGGACATCCGAATCGTAATCGGGGAGGCTCAGAAGACCCATAGACGGGGCTCCCGCCCTTCCCGCCTCCACATGACTGTGTCCTTGCAGGGTAGCCATGCAGGGCGGAATGGCGCGGGCCTGCTGTTGACTGAGCCCAAAACGCACGAGCAGGGCCCGGAAGCTGTCCGCGGGGCATCGAACGCCTGTGTGCAGCGTGCTGCTCAAGGCAGCAGGCGTAGAGCGGCGTGACGGCGGCACTGACCCGTGTCGGCGGTTGCCCACTCGAGGCGCCTTGGCTACTGCACCTTGGCAGCAGCCAGGGCATCGATGCCTCCCGCCATGGAACACGACTCACTATCAGACAGCGGCGGCGGCGGCAGCAACACCAGAGGTGAGGGCCAGGCGGCAAGCGTGCCCAGCCTGCCTGGCAGCCCCCACTTGCACGCCACCGCTGCTCAGGTTGCCGCCTGCCGCAGCCTGCAGCCGGGAAGCAGCTGCCTCCTGCTGAGCCAGCGACCCATGTCAGTGCAGGTGCAGGTGCAACCAGCCGCAAGCGAGTGCTCAAGGTGGAGGAGGCGCCCAAGAAGCAGCGCCGGGGCGGCCTGCTGGCGGCAATGAAGGCAAGCCAGCGCTGCTTGGCTTCTGCCGTGGCACACCGTATGCGCGCTGCACCACAGCGGGGCAGGTCCCCACACAGTTTTTGCCCGGGGTGCAATCCCAGGACACTCATTGCGGCTGCATGCATTGATGTCGCTGCTGCGCTGCTTGTGTAACCTTTGCGGCGCTGCCTTGCCATGCCTGCTGCTCTGCAGAAATATGCTGCCAGCAGGGCCCAGGACCCAGAAATAAAAAAGCTGCTGCCCCAGATACCCGCCGAGCCGCTGCCTCCATGCCCAGTGCCAGCCCCGCAGGCGCCAGCTGGCGGCGGAGGCGGCAGCGACAGCAGCGGCGGCGCCAGAGGCCAGCAGAAGGCAGCCGAGGCAGCGGCACGGCGAGTGCCGGCAGCCCCGGCGCCAAAGCAGCAAAGCAAAGAGGCCGAGGAGCCGCCGCCTTTGCCACCGCCGCAACAGCAGCAGCAGCAGCAGCAGCCGGCCCTGCAGGTGCTAGGCCCGCACTTAGTGCCGGTGATTGTACCTCTCGTCCCGCTAGCACACCTGTACCTGCAGCAGCCCGGGGTCAGCATGCAGGCAGGCACTTGCCTGCAGCCTGGCGGCGCTGCCAGTGCGCCTGAACCAGCGGTCGGCTGGCCAGACCCCACGGCAGTGGTGGCCCCAGCACAGGCGGGCGCAGGCGTGCGGGCAGCCTGGATGGCTAGCACTGGCAGCGCGTTGCGCCCTGCTGGCCACGCGGCAGACGCGGCAGCAGCCAGCAGCAGCAGCCAACTACAGCAGCCGCCAATAGCGCAGAAGCAGCCCTCACCGCACCGGCAGCAGCAGCAGCAACAGAAGCAGCGCTCACCGCAGCGGCAGCAGCAACAGAAGCAGCGCTCACCGCAGCGGCAGCAGCAGCAGCAGCAGCAGCAGGCAGGCAAGCAGGCAGGCCAGCAGGCAGGCAAGCAGGCGGCCAAGCAGGCAGCGAGCACCAAGTTCCGCCTCAACATGCAGCGCAGGCCACAGATGCAGCCAGGACCTGCCTCCTACACCCCGTCTCCTGCCAGCGCTGCTGCCGCAGATGTCAACAGCAAACAAGTGCTGCTGCTGCAGCAGCAGCAAGGGCGGCAGCGGCGGCAGCGCCGACGAAGGAGTTCTGGAGGGGAGGGGGAGGGTGGCAGCCCGGAAGGGAGCCACGAGGGGCAGGCCCCCGCCCCCGCTCCGGGCATGGTACTGCTGTCGCAGCTGCACGGTACCGCCGCGGCCGACGACGGCGGCGCTGCGGCAGCGCACACGCCCCTGCACTCGCCCAGGCCGCAGCCGCAGGTGCAGAGCCCGCAGCGGGTGGCGCCGGGGCCCGACGCGAGGCTGGCTCAGCAGGCGGTCGACCTGCTCGACCGCCTGGCAACCCCACAAGTGCTGGGCATGGTTGGGCCCACCCAGGCGGCCGCCACCGGCAGCAGCAGCCCCATGCTCACGCCGCTGGCATGGCTGCTGAGAGAGCAGGGCGGCGGGGCTGGTGAGGAGGCCGCGCCTGGGGCCGCGCCCTGCGGCGCGGCCCTGCAGTCCCCCACGGCGGTGCTGCTGGCCGGGCTGATGCACGGCGGCAGGGCGCCAGCTGGCGACGAGCAGCTGCCTGACGCGATGAGCCCCGAGGAGCTTGAGGCGATGCTGGAGCGGCAGGACTGGAGCATAGAGGGCCTGTTTGGCTCCCTGCCCTCCACCCCAGCGCCACCCAAACCCGCCGCAGGCCCCGTCGTCAGCCTGCCGCTCGCCGTCTCCAGCCCGCTGCCCAGCAGCGGCGCATCCACGCAGCTGCCGCTGTGCAGCACCGCGGCGGCGGCGGTGGCGGAGGCTGAGGTGGCGGCGGCCGCCGCCGCCACGTCTGCCATGCTGGCCTCGCCCCTGGTGGCAGTCCTGCTGCAGGGCGGGGCGGCAGCAGGCTGCCGCGCCGCCGTCATCAACAGCATGCGCCCGCCAGCTGCTGGCAGCGACCAGCCTTTCCCCACCAGCCACCCTGGCCGGCAGCGGCAAGCGCAAGGAACGGATGGGCAGCAGCAGCGGCAGCAGGCACTCCAAGCGTCGGCATTGCCACCAGTGCCAGCGCTTCAGGGGCTGCCAGGGCCGGCAGATGGGAGCGACGCAGAGGCGGTGGCGGCAGGCACATCACTGACATCGCCTGCCGGCCTCAAATCGCCTTCGCTTGAGGAGTGGCTGAGATGCTGCTAGCCTCCTCATATTTGTCCATGCGTGGCCAGCTGTGGTATTTTCTCCTATACCCTTGTGTGCCTCTCCACCCATCCTCCTACTCTCCACCCGCACCATCCTTTCTGCTCACCCTCTTTCCTCAGCTGCTTCATCTCAACTGCTCTTCCTTCCTCACTTGATTTTTTGGTGTTTCCTCTTCCTTCCTCTCCTCTGACCGACCGCGTGTGCTGACTCTCTTGTTTTACACTGCTCGCTGCGTGTGCTGGCGCCCCGCCCCGAGACACGCAGCACATGTTTTGCATGCTGGGCGGCGTGAATAAAGGAAGAAAGCAAGGGGACGCAATGGTGGGCGTGTGGCCGCAGGCAAATGAAGCCAGCGGCCGGTGTAAGAGTACACACTGCCAGGAGAAGCAGCCAGAGCCTCTGCTGCGTGACGGGGCAGGGCTCAATGGCGCAACAGCCGGCTGGCAGTGGCAGCGCTGGCGCAGTGTGCGTGCCGGCAGCTGCTGGGGTGGGGTGTGGGTGCAGGGTGGGGAAGGGAACAGGTGTCAGGCAGGCAGGCAGCAGGGCAAGGGGGAAAGCTTACTGCTGCTTGGGAGTGGAAGAGGGCAACATCGGTATAGCAATCATTAACGCGAGTGGGCGCAAAAGGGGGGTGTAACCGGTTGTTGTAGCTAGGAGAGGCGGGCCAGGCAGCCGGGCCAGGCTCCGCCGCCGCCGCCGCCGCCGCAGCCGCCGCAGCGCGCTCACGCGGCGGGCAGCCAGCCCTGCTCCAGGGCCTGCTGCTTGTACTGCTGGTACAGCTCGGGGGCGCGGGCCAGGTCCAGCGCCGTGTCCGCCAGCCTGGCCTCCACCCGCGCAAAGCCCTTGGCCATCTGCGTCTGGCTCACCTCCCCGCTGTCCGCCAGCTGCTGCAGCAGCCCCAGCACCTTGCCCGCCTCGCCCTCGCTCCCAAACGCGGCCAGCAGGCTCCTGCGGGGCGCATGGCGGGCACGCGGAGGGGGCTACCACGTCGGAACGGCGCCAAGCCAGGCACGCACGCACACAGAGCGCCAGGGCGCCAGCAGCCCCGGCACCATCCCCGCGAGCCTCCCCTCCCAGCCCCGCTGCCCCCAGGAGCCCCCCCTCACCTGGCCACAAAGTCATGATGGAAGTGAGGCACATTAAGGTTCTGCAGGCAGCGCTCCGCCTCGCTGCGGCAGGGGCGCGTGTGGGTGTGTGTTGGGGGGGCGCACGCGTGGGCGCGGGATGGGGGCGGGCTGGCGGAGCCTGCGCAGGCGCAGCCTCTGCAGCGCGTGCCTGCCCTGCCGCGATGCCAGCCCGGGCCTTCGCAACGCAGGTGGTAGTAGCTCCAGCCCCCAGCCCCAGCCCCAGCCCCGGACCAAGCCCTCCC